GGCCCTTTGAAGCCCTATATTGAACCCCTAGGAGGATGCTATCACTGGAGACAGGCTCTTTTAGTTTCCCCAAGTGCACCATTCTTTAAGCTATAAATATCTCACCTACGGCTCCAAAAGAATACATGTAATGCCCAGAGCCTCATACAATGGTATTCAGTTAGGATTTTTTGAATAAATGGGCTTGAAACTACTAGGTATAACTAAACATCACCACTCTGGATGCCCCAGGCAGGGCATCATGATTCAGAATCCACTGAGATGGAATAAAAAGTTCCATTTGGAACAATGAGGCTGGCAAATTGTCCACCTTTCTCTGGTCTTTGACCATGGCCTAAAACGTAAGCTCATTTACTAGTCCTGTCCTCCCATGCATCCTACCCAGTCTATTCTGCGTCCTCCTCCTGCTACCCCCCTCCCTCTCCATCTTTCTGTCTGGGCCCAGGCTTCCTGGAGTTACTGCTGCCCCTGCAACCTCCAGCAGTGAGGTAGGGGTTGCCATCTTGCTACCATGATTCTTGGCCAAGTGTCCATAAATGACCAAACAAAAATCCCAGCTCCCTTATGATCTCTTGATCTCCTCGATGACTTACTTTCCCCTTAACTAACTTCGACTGTCCTGGTCGTACCCAGAACTGCTCCATGTCCTCTTGTCCTCTGATGCTTTTCAATCTCATACCCTACCTCAAATCCCCTTACACTCTGACTTCCCCATAGTCTTTTCCTGGCCATGCTTCCCTCCCCACACATCCCAAACCACCCTCTTAAAATGTACTCAACACCCTCCGTCCTTCTGCTTCCCTTCAGTTCTGCCTAATGATTTGGATGTGGGCCTCGCTTGGAGCCTAGATCATGTTCTGCCTCCTTTGTATCTTGCCTGGACTGCTGAGCATGGCTCGAAAAATCATAACCTTAAGGCCTGGTGCTGTTGCCCACTGTTTGTAAGATAGGATCTTCAATAGCTAGACCAGCTTGTCCTAGTCCATGGTCAACCATCTCTCCCACACTTTCTACATATTCCCCTCAAACTCCTAAAACCCTAGCATGCCTCACTCACAGCAGACAACCTCGCTTCCTTCTGTATCAGACATAGAATTCCTCCACTTCCCATCTTCTCCACCTATAAACTAGACTACTTCTGAAACCTGCCTAGTACCTTTTTCCTGGATCAGCACCCGCTTTTATTCCTGCTCCCCAGCCAGTCTTCCACAGGACTCCTGACCTCATTCCATTGCCTCTAAGCCCTTGTTTCTTTAATTATTTCACTCAAAAAATATTTGTCAAGATTATTATGTACTGGGCCCTGTTCTGGATGCTGGGATATGGTAGGGATTCCAAGACAGACAAAATCCAGTCTCTTGCTGGGGGGTAGGGGACTGGGTGTAAACAACAATAAACAAGTAAAAATGTCAAGTAAACAGGGTAATTTATCTTTTCATAGATCTCATCAATGGAGCAGGGGAAAAACTAGTATTGATCCTTGAGGGACCAATTTAAGACTGACTGAGAACCCTCAGTCGGTTCTCCCCTGCCTCCAGTGAACCCTGGTCTCATTCAAAAGACAGCCATCTAACCTTCCTTGCCCCTGCACTGATCCCTTGTTACATCTTTCTTCTCCTCTGCTCTGCTTTCTTTAAAGATTACTCTACATGTGCTATCTCCACATCCTTTCCTTTTTATTTAATTGACTTTTTAGTTGAAACTGTAATACAAACAGAAGAAAATGGGAACAACAACAAAACTGTAGGGAAAGCTATTATACTTAACCATCCAGTCACTCCTCAACCTATCATACATAATCCAGTCTCTGCTTTACCACTCCACTGAACCATTCTGGCAAAGGTATCTGATGAGTGTCTCTCCACAGGGCCAAGTCTGAATGGACGTTTCCCGCCTTGCCTTTTTATACCTCAGTATTCCCAACCCTCATGACCTCCCTTGGCTCAGACAACACAGTTTTGTGAGGTTACAACACAAGCCCTTCCTTCTCTGGTGTCTTACACATTGAAGTTAAATGCAGAGTTCCACCTTAGCCCATCTTCTCTTTCTATAAGCATCCACCTTAGGTAGGCTGATCATGTAATTCTTATCATCCTAATGGGATGCCTTTGAGGGTGAAAGAGCGCAGGATTAATAATTACTACTCTTGACTAGCAGGTGTAAACCAAGACTGTTCCAAACAAATCAGGATATATGGTTACCCTATTCTTAGGAGGTCACATCCACTATTACGGTTTTAACTAACACATACCTATTAACCATTTGCAAAACTGAATCTGTAGCCTTGATTCTGACATTGAGCTTTATTTTCCAAATCTTCCCACAGATTTCCCACAGATTATGATTTCCCACAGATCTCAAATTCAGTAGGGCCAAAACATAATCATTTCCATTCCTAAAACCTGCTAATCCTTGTATTTCCTATCCAAGTTACACATATTACCCAGTCACTCAACTCTCCAAGCTGGGGATTGTTTTAGACCTCCCTCACCCATCATATTTAGTCACCAAGACATACTGACTTTAGTTTTGAAGATTTCTTTAATCTGCAATTTTCCCCCTGGACTACTATCATAACCTGTTATCTGATTTCCTTGCTCTACTCTTGCCTCCTTTAAGTCTGTTTGCCACAGTGCCACCAGAGTGATCTAACACTGACTGTACTTTTGCTTTGAATCCTTCAGGAGCTTCCTATTATTTATAGGATAAAGACTTTCATCATGATCCTATCCCTGTTCACTTTCTTTGGTCTCATAACCTATCAGTCTCCCTTTGCAATCTAATACCAATGCCTTGTAGAAACACACACACACACACACACATACACACAGTCCCCCATTAAAACTGTTTCTTACTTCCAAGCCTCTGTTCATGCTGTTCTTTCTGCCTGGACTGCAGATCCCCTTATTTAATTTGCCGACATCTATACCATTTTCTCTAGTCACTTACAGCTGGCCCAGAGGGGAGTTCAGTGCCTCTCCTTTATTTTTTTTAAAGATTTATTTATTTATTTGACAGAGAGAGAGAGAGAGCACAAGCAGGGGGAGCAGCAGAAGGAGAGGGAGAAGCAGACGTCCCTGTCGAGCAGGGAGCCCAACGTGGGGCTCGATCCCAGGACCCTGAGATCTTGACCTGAGCTGAAGGCAGACGCTTAACTGACTGAGCCACCCAGGCGCCCCTCAGTGCCTCTCCTTTAAACTTTCATATTAACTATCCATATCACCTTTCATATTATTTCAACCACAGCACTGGATATGTTAGTTTAAAATTAATTATGTCAGTCTTTCCTACTAGTTGAAAAACTTCTTGAGCATAGGGGCAATGGCCCTTAAATATTTAATAGTCATCCTATTTTTAGATCTCATCCACTGTTCTGGATTCAGCCAAGCAAATTAAAATAAACTGGTCTAAATATTGAAATGAATACACAACTTCATTATCCCTGCATTTTTCCACATGTGCCCATATGTTTTATAACATCAATAGATGGACTGAAAATGTGGAAGGGCTTTAGCTGCCAACAATTTGCCTGTTTTATGAAATTAATTTTAAAAAGTAGATCTTAGCATAGGAGACAGGACTAAATTTTTAAAAAAAATATATAGTTGGGATACACCAAAGTTAAGAAAAGAGCAAATACCTAATTGTTTAAGACTACAGAAAATCAAAATACATTTCAACAATTGTTTGAATTGGAAAATTCTGTGAAAAGATTATCCTAAACCATTTTTTTTTAATAAAAGAGGCTATTCATTCCTTTTGTTTTTTATTATTTATATTAAAAAATTCATACTACTTTGAGATTAGTATCCTAATATTCTAAAATCTAGTATCCATCAAATCTACCCAAACATCTTTCTCTACTTTCCAGATGTTAGCTCTTATGATTTCCATGTTCTTATATGATTAGCTCTGACTTAGAAAGAAGGAACTTTTCACTTAGTCTGTCAAAACCCAAACTATTTGACCTTCAAGGCACAGAAAAAACCCACAATTTTTGGATAAAATGTGGTGCTCCTGTCACTTATTCATTCAAGTAATTTTGGGGGAATTAAAACAGTATAATCTAAGATTTTAAAGAATATTATTAGTGTCACCAGAGGCGTAACAAGAGCATCTGGCGCCACTGGTACTCAGTGAACAAGTAAAGAGAACCACACAGCAGTGTAACAGTCAAGATTATGAATGACTCCAAACCGTTTATGTTCTTCTGACAAAGTCCCACTCCTAAGAGTTCTTTTTTCTTTTTTAATTTCCTATTTAATCATCACTTTGAGCAATCTTCCTAATTATATTTTGGCTTACAAATCTTGTTTTGTGAACAGTGATTATTTTTCTGAGAAGGAAAACAATTTGAGGTATTTCAAAATTTAAAACATACTCTGATATTTTCTTCAAGCCGAAGATGATCAGACTACCCCACACAGACAGGCACTAGCTTTCCAGCTATGGCAAGCATCCTAAGGTAGATCTCATGAGACAGGAATATGTCTACCATTTGGCAATCTACTGAGAAATACATTTGGCCAAAATATAACTGAGAAGAAGTTAAAATATCTTTAAATGTAATATTTATTTTTTATTGGCAAGTTGTTGATACTACAAAAATAGCTCCAATCTCCTGATAAATATCTTTGAATGCTCCCTACCTGTCAGAAGGTGGAGCTCTAAACATATCTGAAATACAGGCTTTTTAGTTGTGCATTTCACAAATGTGTGCAATGAAGAGATTAAAGCAGGAGTGTAAAGTCTTTAGAAAAATGGCTCTGGAGAATATTCCAATTCTCTCAGGATAAAATCACCCACATCTCCCCAATATGTACATAGTTAACTAACAAAAAAGATATTTAGCATGCTCCTTTGAAACTTCAATATATTACCTACTATGAAAATGTAGGCACAGTAATTCAGAGTAAGAGAATAAGTATATTTAAAAGATAAAACACATTAAAAAAATCAAGACCACCTACTTGGATGTAGGCAAGGTCATTGATACTTACAAGCATCTCGGATATAGAGCAACATGGCTATGAAGATATAATCAACTAAACTCAGGCTGAGGCCATCTGCAAACAAGGCATCCCAGACCACCAGAAGATCCTGCAGTGGGAACTCTCGTCCAAACAGGAGCCGGACCCACCGTCTGGAAAGAAACAAAACCAAAATTCAGAAATGAGTACTTCTGAAAGTAATATAAAAAGGAATCATTTTCTCCTATACTTGTGAAAAAAACTGTAATTTTTAACTGATCACACTGAGTAAATATTACATATCAAATATATAATACGGTAAAATCCAAGTTTTAAGCTTTCAAATGAATTTTGTAATTTTATAACTGGGCCACAATCATTAAAGTTTATTCCTATATGTCTAAAACACTAGCATGATATTTGAAAAGGGTAGAAATCTTTCATATTTAACACAAATCCCAAATCTCAAAAGGCAAAGAAAAAAATGAATGCACAGTGGTCTGATAGTTGCCTCACAGGTAAGGTTAGGAATTAAAAGATAAAATATTCCAAAATTTTATGATCACTACTGATTTCGTCGTTGTTGTTGTTAACTGGACTTTTGCAAATAACTGTACAACAAATTAACTATAACCGAGAAGAAAAGTGCATTCTCACATTTTACTCTTATTTTAAAATATTCATTTTAAAATTCAAATGTGGGAAAAAACCAGTGTATATATATATATATATATATATATATATATATATATATATATATAGTCAAGTGTGGACAGTTATTTCAAATGAAACAAATAGTAATACTTTATTTTTAACTCTAGAATAGATATACTTTATTAGTGAGGTTATCTTTTGAGGGCTGTTTTTAAGAACAGAGTCACTTCTATGGCCAGGAAAATTGGGTATCTATGCTATAAGCATATATAGGCAGCTTATAAGAATACTAAACAAGGTCTGTATATAATTATATGTCATAAACAGCTATACTTCAAATTTTCAACAAACATTAAGCTACTCATAATTCTTATAAGAAAATTAAAATAATTCACTTTGATATCCATTTTTAATCCATTTATTTCTAATTCTATATAACACGGCTACAATTTCCTTACACAAACCTTTCTACAGGAATGTCAGCTAGAATTCTATGTGGTTCTGGCACATAACAAAGAATCAAAAATTCCAAAATTTCTAGTATACCAAGTAGTACAGAAGAGAGGGAATTCTTTAAAAATTAGTTAAAAGAGATTATCTCTTTGCAAAATTAGAAACCAAATATAACCATCTGTGGGGTTAAAGTGAGCACTTACTCCTCTTCAGAGTGTATCATATTTATGGAGAAATCAAAGCTGTGACAATATAGTGTAGAATCACACAAATGTATCACAGTTAGTAGGAACCATATACTATATAATCAAATACGAAAGTTCTTTCATTCATATTATCAAATTAATCAACAGATTAATTAAATTGTATTTTTAATTACATCTTAAATTATGACACTCAATTTCTCAGGAAAAAGAAATTTAATGCCTAAGTAACATTTATATTTTTAAAAATGTTAAGAGTATCATTTACAATTTTTATTTATCTTTCAATTCTTACTCTGCTGCTAATATGAGGGTGACTAAAACAAAATGTTTTTTTGGTCTTATATTGCCTGCAGTTGTGTGGCTTAGGGAAAAATATTCTTTCTCTACACACTTTTAATTCTTTCAAATTACAAATGCCAATATTTACTATTTAAAGAAGTACAGAAATAGCTCTAAATTACATAGGATGTTCTTCTTAATGACAAAGAATTAACTGGTCTTGCAAGGAGTATCAGGGGAACCAGAGAATGGGCAAATCAAAAAGTACCTGGATTAAACCATTTAGGCATCTGTTTAAAGGATCTTTAAACTGATAATTATATCTGCATTATTAAATGACTAAAACAGGATGTGGTCATTTATAGTTATTCAACTGATACAAAAGGGAAGAGAAATTCATCAGTGAAAAAAAATGATGAGGATCTAAAGTGTAACATGTTGACTGTAGTTGGTAACACTATATTGTATAATTGAAATTTGCCAAGAGAACTAAAATATTCTCACCATAAATGAATGAATGAATGAATAAAATGTGTGAGGTGATGGATGTGCTAATTAACAAGATGGGAGGAATCCTTTCACAATGTACACATATATCAAATCATTACAACATACACTTTAAATATCTTACAATTTTATTTGTCAATTATACTTCAATAAAGCTGAAAAATAAAATAATTAAGAATTATCTTGGTTCGGGCGCCTGGGTGGCTCAGTCCGTTGAGTGTCTGCCTTGGGCTCAGGTCATGATGGGGGGGGGGGGGGGTCCTGGGATCGAGCCCTGCATGAGGCTCCCTGCTCAGCAGGAAGCCTGCTTCTCCCTCTGCCTCTGCCCCTCCCCCAGATTGTTCTCTCTCTCTCTCCCCCCCCTCCTTCCCTCCCTCAAATAAATAAATAAAAAAAGAATTATCTTGGTTTAATAGGCAAATTTTAGCAGTTTCAAAATAGAAAATTCTGATATTTAACTGATCCTTCCTGGTTCAAATCTGGATGTCAATACAAAATTCAAGAATTACACCTATATAATGGTAGCTACACACTTGAGGTGAGCACAGCATAATGTATAAACTTGTCGAATCACCATGAGACTAACGTAGCATTGTGTGTCAACTATACTCAACTCAAAGAATTAAAAAAAAAAAAAAGAATCACACCTATAAAATTGCACTGTGCCTTGAACTCACTCCTTTCATTCATGGAGGTTATTTTAATACTTATTTGAATAAGCCCATTCACATAATTAAGGCTGGTGTTTCCTGAAAGACATTACTTTTGCTCAGCCTTTTTTTTTTTTTTTAAGATTTTATTTATTTATTTGACAGAGAGAGACAGCGAGAGAGGGAACACAAGCAGGGGGAGTGGGAGAGGGAGAAGCAGGCTTCCCTCCAAGCAGGAGCCCGATGCGGGGCTGGATCCCAGGACCCTGGGATCATGACCTGAGCCGAAGGCAGATGCTTAACAACTGAGACACCCAGGCGCCCCTTTGCTTAGCCTTCTTATGTGTGTGTGGGGGGCGGGGGCGGGGGGGAATTTTCTGTGTGTTTTTCCTGCTACCTCCCATTGAAAGCAAAATGACTTTTGAGAAAAGCTGACATCTATCATGCTAAAATAGACATCATTTAGCAAAGAAAAAAAAATTGATGAAGGTTAATATTCACCACAGAGAATACAATACCATCTTTTTGCCCCTTAAAGCCCAAAGTCCTCTGATTTTCTTATGGACAATCACAGCTTTGGTTTCATCACAGATGGTGCTTCAAGAGGGAAGAAAAGAAAAGAAAAGAGAAAAGAAAAGAAAAGAAAGAAGAGAGGGAGGGAAGTAGGGAGAGAAGGAGGGAGGGAGGGTGGGAGGGAGGGTGGGAGGGAGGGAAGGAGGGAGGGAGGGAGGGAGGGAGGAAGGAAGGAAGGAAGGAAGGAAGGAAGGAAGGAAGGAAAGAAAGAAAGAAAGAAAGAAAGAAAGAAAGAAAGAAGGAAGGAAGGAAGGAAGGAAGGAAGGAAGGAAGGAAGGAAGGAAGGAAGGAAAGAAAGAAAGAAAGAAAGAAAGAAAGAAAGAAAGAAAGAAAGAAAGAAAGAAAGAAAGAAAGAAAGAAAGAAAAAGGAGGGAGGGAGGGAAGAAGGAAGAAAGAGGGAGAGAGGGATAAAGGGAGGGAGGAAGGAAGGGAGAAAGAAAAAAAGACAAAAAAAGAGAAGAAAGAAAAAAAATAGCCCCCTCGTTTTAAAGAAATTATATATTTCCCATTATTTCTACAACAAAACCCCCAGTTACTGCTCAAACTCATGCAACTTTCCTGCTGCTTGGGGTTTTGTTAGCTTAGCTTCAAAAATGACCCCACAGATACATATGTGCAGCAATCTCCACTGCAGTACTGTCAAGGAGGGAGAACTGCAAATATCTAGTAATCTACATTGAATAAAACATATCATTGAAACTACACACAACGTAAGTCTTCAGTACTTTTATATTTAATGTGTAATCTATGATGTGCTGCTTTATAAATGTTTCACCTTGCCAAGTACACTGCTAAATAATTCCAGGGCAAGGACCAAATTCTGTGTGTGTGTGTGTGTGTGTGTGAGAGAGAGAGAGAGAGAGAGAGAGAGAGAGAGATGAAGAGAGAGAAAGATCTAGGAAGTTCTTTGTAAAGAGCTCTGTACACTTTGCTAACCCCTCTATGTGTTTACCAAGGTCTTGATAAACTCACTGTGAAGCCACCTGTCATGCTACTGAGAGGCAAAGGTGCAGCTAAATTGAAAATACAGGCAGTGATCTTGTTAGTGGCAACATAAAAATAATTCAGGAAGTGGAAAAAAAAAACCAGAAACACATAAGGAAAAAAATTTATTATTAGATACTTGGCATGTTCCTTTTATATAAGACTGTTATACATGCAAGGATATAAAATTAAAGCAAAACACAGTTTCCTGTATTTTATGTGCGATTATAGGAAAATTAAAGCCAAATTCTCAAAATATTTAAGTAGTACTGTATGACTAATGGAAAGCTTTGGGACCAACAATGACCTTATCAATAATTTAATCATTTTAATCCCTACTGGATTTAGTTCATGCATATATTCACCACACACAAATTTCCTGTGCTATTTTGGGCTTTCTTCATTGAGCTTAAAAGCCAAGGAAAAATTCGTTCTTTATGGAATGAGTTACCAACAGAAATTATTTCAGTAAGCTTTTGTATTCTTAGAAAGGAAAACTTACTCGAAGAAATGAGGTCTTATAAAGAAGTCACTCCTAAAATTAACATGCTTTTATTGCAGTTAAAAATATTTAGCCCAAGTTTAACTTACACTTAAGGGTAGCATTAAGGCTTTCTTCTCCCCTTAAAGATAGCTTCAGTTTAATTGCTTAATACTATTAATCTTGCTTTATGTTTGTTACACCTGCAGATTGCAATGCTCATAACCGTACACATTTTATCACTTGTGATAATACAATAATTCATATTTTACCAGACCTACTTAGTAATTAAAATCTACACAAACAAAAAAAGACCATCTGAGGTATTAAATTTAATAATAAGCCACCCAAGGATAGGACTGTTCCTACGTCTGCACTTATACCAC